GCAGGCTGCCACGTCAAGGTCACACGCCATAACTCCAGGGACGCGCGCGGGGTAAACACGATAAGATGGCGTGAGCATGGACCAATCACAAGTGCCAACCCTCTCCCACCTCCATTTATGCGTAGCCAACGTTTACTGCTTTCTCAGTTTCTTTGACGATGGCTTCTTGTGTGGAGCCGAAAGCTCAGAAGAATAGAATTGCCGTTCCAGAGATCGCGTCTTCTTTTTCTTTGCAACAGATAACTGTGAATGATGCTTAATTCAGGATTCTGTGGTTGGCCGAAGTTTACGCCAATAGGCCTCTGCTGCGTTCAGCTATCCCCGCGATAGTGCCTGTGTCGCGCCTCCAGCGGTTTCTAATAAATTTTTATATATTGATTTATATATATATATATATATTATATTGATTTTTTATATTGATATGCCCAGTAAGGCATACCCCCTCTGAATGCATTGCCTTGCACTTCACAGTTGGGCAGGCGCCAATGATGTACGTTTTCTCCCTGTGTCCTGTGTTAAGTGTGTGCATAGCAGCCTGAGATAAGTGGTCTCGACTTTTCACCGCCGACAGATATTAATGTACGCAGGTTTATGCCCTATCTGTATCTGGTGTTTTCTTAGCTCTCTCTTGACTCGCTCAGCTACAGTATTTACATACGGAAGACTTCACCAGCTCGTTGCTTTTGGCGTCTGAGTGGGTGTTGCCGCCACATGCACGGACGAACAAAGTCGGAAGGGATATACATTTTTCAGGCGGACCGACAGCTCGACCGTCGCGAACGCCACCGTACGCCCGACAAACAGATGGCACAGGAAGGGTGATTTTCGTTTGAATTTGTTTATATTGAGAGCCAACTTGCACCGTCTCTACTTACTTCTGTCTCTCTATCCTCACCCATCTGGGCCTAGTGTCCTGAGAGAGCCAAGAAGACTGGAGACGGGATCGGGAGCAGCTGACTGGCACAGCATACGCCTGCGTCCAGGGATGTCATCTCCCCCTCCCCCCACGTGTCGCCTTTGATCTGAGCGCGTAGCCGGAATAACGTGTGCAGTGCTCTTATTTGCCCCCCCTCGCATTGGCTCATACTCTATACCGCATTCCCCGACATAGGGGCCGCTTATCAGCTACCAGGGAAGTTATTTCAGACCGTAGTTTGGCACCACCAGCGTCTTCTTATTTACGACTTTTATAGTGTAGGTATTTTGAATCTTTTCGTCCGCCTCTTCTATGGCTTGACGACAAAATAGTTGCACCCGCGTGCTGTTTGCATATGCATACTATCTAATTAATTGATCAGTACTACCCAAAAATGCTGCG